ACGTTGCCTGGCACGTCCGATCTCCTGCATTTCATGCAGTAGCCTGTTGCTGTGAGGTAACACCGTCACGGTCCTAACGGAGAGCATTCCGGCCAAACTGCGTTTCTGGCTGTTAAGATCGAGCTGTTTGACTGCAGCTGGTGAAAATCAGAAGTTAATCCGAGCACTGAAACTTAACGACGTTACGTGAGCTCTGACTCGGGAGAGAGGCTGAAATGTGATGCAGAATCGCCTTTACGTGGAAGGGAAAACCGGTTTGGATGCATAAAGAACCCAATGACTACATTTCACTCAGCGGCACCGACGAGCTCGGCCTTGCAGGCACGACGGGACGGCGCGACGGGACCGGTGGGTATCGTCACCAGGGGCTGCGAGTTCTGTAACGTCGGACAGACGGGACACCGACTGCATCCAGCAGCACGAGAGGAGAAGGCAGTGCACAGAAGACACACTTAGAAGCTGAAGGAGAAATGACTCTTCCTACAAAGCCGATTTTTAAAGGAATTTGGCTACCGGTGTTCTCTAAGGTGCTGCCAACCCCTCCCTGCCCAGCCCCGGACGAGGGGTTCCCCATCCACACAGGGCAGAGACGAGGCTTGTCTGCTTCCCCTGCCACCACTTTTCCTCCTGCCCACGGAGGGCGAGCACGCTACAAGACGCGTTACTGGGCGTGCATCGCAGGGCTCACGGAAATTCCATGGAAATCAGAGGCTGGACGGGAAAGAGAAATCCCAGTGACTTCCTCAAGCACTCGCATTAGGCAAGCGGGACCCAGCTGCCGGGCACGGCATTACCGCCACAGGCCCAGCGACAGCCAGCCCCGGCAGCCAGCCCAGCCGGCCAGGAGGCTCGCGCGGAGCAGGAGGGTGGCCAGAGCAGGGCCCACATCCCGTCACGAGTGTGCCCGGAGAGCCCATGAGAGGGACGGCAGGGCTGCAGGCCTCGGCCCCGCAGGGCTCCGCTGGGATGTGAAAGGCAGAGCCGGGCAAGCGCTCGCAGCACGCCCTCAGGTGCTTCCGCAGCAAAGGAAGCGGGAGTTTGGCTCTGGACACGTGCCGCCCGTGCTCACAGGCACACGCCTGCTTCCTCTTCAGGGGCAAACTACGCCGGGACAAGCCCGCGCCGAGCTTTGGGTGGTTAGAAACACACTGGAGTAAACGGAATGGACTGAATGCCGGATAAAGGCGGTTTCTAGGAGGTTATTAAATCTCCGACTCCCCGATGTCACTGTGCTCTACATCCTCCCGCTGGTCAAGCGACACAAGGAGACTCGGCAAGGCTCAATTCCCAAGTGGAGGGAAAAAGCGAGTAGCATGGAGGGAGGGAGAAAAACGCCGGAGAGGGAGCGGAGGATTATTCTGCACGTAGGGAGCAGCGCCAACTTCCCAGAGGCTGAGGTGAAGCCAGAGGAACGGGAGGAAGTGGCACCTGTTACAGGAAGTAACGTAGTACCTTGAAACCCGGAGAGAACAAGCCAATGGGTGGGTTTCTCCTGGGCAGGAGACACCACGAGGGCAATGGAAAAGGAAAAGCACAGCAGCACGAGGTGTAGGCTGAAGGTAGAGAGCAGGGTGGAGAGAGAGGGGTTGTGCAGGAATCAGGCAAAACACTTGTGGCTCAGAAACAGTTGGGAATGGAGCTGCCGAAGGTGGACGTGAGGACTCATGTTATGGGGAGGGTATTATTTTCATAAGCTGACTCAGTTTACTTTCCAGTTCCCTCTGCAACCTTGTAGAACCAGCACACACTCCTCACAGCCTTTCCTTCTGGATTGAACTTGGGCAACTTTGGGATTTCTGAGCATTATGGGATAATAAAATCGCACGCCCTCAGTAACTGCAGAATTGGCTGCAGCTTGCAGGGAGGCATGAGGCTGGGGGGCCAGCAGTACAGCCAGGGCTTGACTTCCACCTCCTGCTCTGGCAGCTGGATGGGGAGCAGGGCACAGCGCCGAGAGCTGCCAAAAGGACACGAAGGGCAGAAATAAAGATCGTCTTAACAAATGACCAATGGTCTCATGGAAATGAGTTACTGTCCTCTACCTTTATGTGGATTCCAAAGGCAGCAAGGTCTTCACGCAGGCTGTCACAAGCCTCCAGGAGGGGTTTTCTCTCCCGTATTAACTTCTGCCTCTCTTCCTTCTGTTCTGGTTTCGGCCCTGCGGCACCCTCCGTGGGCACAGCTTCTCCTCCTGCTTCTGGCAGGGCGAGCGCGTACCGGCGGACCTTCAGGCGGAACCTCACGAGCTCGTCCATGACGTTAGAGAGCACAGCCGAGTCGCCTCCTCCCAGAGCCTCCTAGAAATCAAACGTGTTGCTTTACAAACGTGGGAGAGCGATCTGAAACGCCGACCCCCCAACTCATACACCCGGGCCTCGCCAACTCTCTGGGTTGTGTGCCTCCCCGTGTATCGGTATGATTAAAACATCACAATCTCCCCGGGGCTGGGCAAAAAGTGACAGTGGAGTCGCACTGTGAAGCAGGTCGGTGTATCCCCGTGCAGGGCAGCGTCCAGGGCCAGAGGGCTCTCACGTGAGCGTAACATGCCGCATAGCCCAACCATGGAACTCATCGCCACAGGAAACCTCCGAGATGCCAGAAGCATCCATAAATTTAAAAGGGATTAGATAAATTAATGGAATAAAGGCCTGGCAACAACCACCTGACACAGCACGGGAAGCCCAGCCGCCAGCTCAGGCGGCCCCTTGGCTGTGAACGGCTGCAGAGCCAGAGAGCGCTCCAGCCCCTCACACTCTGCCTTTGGGCCCCAGACCTTCTCAGAATCACAGAATGGTTTGGGTTGGAAGGGACCTTAAAGACCATCCAGTTCCAACCCCCCTGCCATGGGCAGGGACACCTTCCCCTAGACCAGGTTGCTCAAAGCCTCATCCAGCCTGGCCTTGAACACTTCCAGGGATGGGGCATCCACAGCTTCTCTGGGCAACCTGTTCCAGTGCCTCACCACTGGAAACTTCACCAGTTTCTTCAGGAAACACAAACCAAGAAAATTGGGCATTTTGGCTTGAAGCCTCTAGACTACCCTTCTTCCTTGTGCCTACAGAAAACCTCCCCAAATCCACAGCACTTTTCTCTGATCTGCCTTATCCAAGGTTTCAGCCACCCAAAAAGACGTGGCCGAGCAGCAGCTGTTGCACACAGCGGGTGTCTTCTGGCTGCTGCATGGCCCCCTCCTTCCCTCAGCCAGCTCCGAACTTCCTGGGCCTCTGTCTCACTGGTCAATGCCACGGGAAGGGAATGGCCTCGCTCCGACGGCTGCCGGGATGGGAGCTCAGGTGCTAGCAGGGAAAAAAGGCTGCTCCTCGACGCTGGCACAACCAGGCTCCCAGTCTCGCTCTCGGCAGAGAAACCATCCCTGTTTCTCATTAGAGGCCAATTCCTGAGGGGGAGGAAAAGGACAAACCTCCAAACGACAGGAGAACACCCCTGTGGTATTTTATCACGACGAAGTGGGGGGGAGCAGACAAGGGCGCAGCGAAGTGTAAAGGCCACCAAGGCCGGGGGGAGAAGCGGCTGGCAGCGACGCTCAACGGGGAGCGGAAGAGCAGCTGAGTAATTAAAGCCAGAGGGGGCTGTGTGCAGTCACCCAAGGGCAGGATGGAAATGAAAGGGAGCGCTTTCGGAGCTTTCGGAGGTCGCTGACTGAAGCGAACAAAGAAAGAGGAGGAGAAGGAGGTGAGGGGGGAGCTGGCAAAGAGCTGGAGCGCGAGATGCACCGCGCTCTCCACAGTCGTAAAAAGACGGCAAATTCTGCAAACATCCAAAATACGTGAACATACTAAAGGAGACGTTTATGAGACTGAAGGTGGTAAATACACAGGCCTCTACAAACACCAAACCAAGCACCCAGTCACAGGGCAAGACCCTCCAAAAGGAGGGGGGGCTTTAGGGATTGAACCCATCCAATTTCCACGTAAAACGCTGCGTAGCCTCTCAGGGCTGATCTCCAATTTCTTTTCCTGCACTACCAGCCAATCCAAAGAGCTCGTAAGAAGTTCTGCATGGAAATTTGGCCCCTGCCTACCCCTGAGATGTTCACCTCCAGCTGTACCCGCCATACAGCGCTCCCTGGCAGAGTGAAAGCCCAGCTCTACGACAGGCACGACGGTTTCCACCCACCGACAGACTGTTCAGATGGGTTTACCTTACCTGCCTGTGGCTGTCCAGGCTCCTTCTCTTGCCAGCAGAGAGAGAGACAGGCAGTCTTATTTTACACAACCACCAGACCAAGATGATCCGTCCCTTCATGGTGCCTTTCTCTCTCTCCCGACTACTGCAGAAGCACAAGCTGCCAGAGTAGACTGTAAGGATGGGATTCATCTCGGCTAATTAGCCAAAGAGACCCACAGGCTATATGCAAGCACCCAGATGAAGAGGGCCCCAACACTGCTCCCTGTCACCTCTACGTTAAATTTGTTAGCCCAGCGGTGGCCAGGCCAGCTAGCCCTCTCCCAGGCAGCCCACATGCTGGGACCTGAGGTGGTCAGGGCCCGGTCCAGGCAAGCCGCATGCATGGGGCCACCTGGCTGCGGGGTAAGAAAAGGCCGGACGCTGAGTTGCTGTGGCTGGTCTGGAAGCCAGAGAACAACCCCTGCACCACTTTATTTACCGGCTTGCGGCAGCCCATGGACGTTGCTGACGGAGATGCTGACTGATTCGTGTACTGGAAGCTGAAAGAGCAGGGGGACAGGGAAATCTGATGTGCCGCTCCTTCCTCCCTGCTTACCTCACACCAACGTCTTCTGCTGACCCTCCTGCCCCAGAAAAACTAGCACAGCACACCAGGATGAAAAGCAGACGCTTGTTTCAGAAAAAAAACAAACACAGAAGGGCAGCAGGCACCTGCACACAGACAGCCCAGAATCTGGAGGAATGACTCTGCCATCCAACTTACATTTGTCTAAGTGTTTAGTATGCCACTAAAAATTAACGTGACCGGGAGTAACACACAGCCACATCACACCCAACCACTATCTGGAAAGAAACCTCATGGAAAAATCCACAAAGAAGCAAAGTCAGTTGTTATCCTGACTGACTTTCAAAGGATGGATAAGGTTATTTACATGTTCTTATCCCTCTTCTCTGAAAGAAATTTTTGCAGGACAGTTTCTCTAAAGAAAGCTTTCCCCTTCTTGGTATTCAGCTCCAGGTTCGAGCAGGAGAGGAGCACAGAGCAGCCTGCCAGTCCCCAGCACCTTGTGCCGTTTTTAATGCTTTCCCTGCGTATGTACATCAGGATATCACCTCCGTACTTACCCCTCCCTTCCCTGCGCAATACTTCGCTTTGAGCTTCTTTGAGCTTTCCTCTCCTTTTTTTCCCCCCCTCCCTGTTCCCACCTTTCCAATCAATACAAGTACAGGCTGGGTGGAGAGTGGATGGAAAGCAACCCTGAGGAGAAGGACTTGGGGGTACTGGTGGATGAAAAGCTGGACATGAGCCGGCAGTGTGCGCTGGCAGCCCAGAAAGCCAACCGTATCCTGGGCTGTATCCAGCCAGACGTGTAACAGGCCCAACTTAAAGGCCTTCGACGCCAATTTTTCCTTGTTTCATCCCTCCGACTTTCACATCCACAGCCAAACGGCTGCAGAAGTCACACGGGAGTCCCTCCGAGAAGAAAAAGGCCCCCACCTTGTTCCACCTGCTCGCAGGCTCTCCCGCGACAGCTCGGCAGGAACCGCAGGCGGCACAGAAAGGTTCACTAAAGCCACGAATGACCTTGTCACACCCGACACTTCCAGAACGCGTCCTGTAAAACGTTAACGCTGGTGCTGCTACGTGCACACAGAGATGTTTCGTACCTGTCTTTCTCCGAAGGACATCCCAAGGGCATTAAAAAAGCCTTCTATATAGGAAATAATGCTTCCATACACAACAGAGCTTCTGGGAGATCCAGCATCCTGTTTAAAAGACACTCAAAACAGATTGTCCAATCAATACATGTATTACAGAACTCGGCATCTCTCCGTAGCCCAGTCCACAGGGGAAAACTACCACTAATTATACAGATCTCCCTCCACCAGCCACATCTGCCCGGACAGCAACTTTTAATGGAGACAGAGAAGTGCCTCACAACACAAAGGGAAAAAGATTTAAGGAAACGAGGGAGGGGAAGAGCTTATTACCAGCACACGCAGCGAAGGGATGCGTGAAGCTGCCAGGCATTACAGGCGTGCTGTAAGTTAGACCTAAAAATAGCATTTTTGGGCATGAAAGGGCCTTGATTGTGAAAACAAAATAAAGGAACACAATCCCAGCTTCAGGGGCACCTATAAAATAAATGATTAAAAAAAAAGAAAATCCCAAACTAAATCATTTTCTGAGCATCTTACTGCTTTAAACAATGTGAAGGCTGCTTTGAGACAGCTTATGGCAGCACCAGCAGCAGCGACAGAACAGCATCCTTAGAACACACGTATTTCTTTCTTTCCTTCATATTTTATTTCACAAAAAAAAAAAAAAATTAGAATCAAGATTAAATGACAGACTGAGAAGCAATGTAAAGGACTAACCCTTGCCCAAGAAGAAAAACATAATAGAGTGATGACATACACAACCCCATTAGCAGCTGGTACTGATTTTATCCGACATGTCCACTGGGGCCCGAGATAAGCCATAACCCAAGATTCACGGAAGACCTGAACTGGAAGCAGCCGAAGCAGAACGCCGAGGGAAAGAAACAGGCACTGCCAGCTAAGGTAAAAGCGGCGAGGAGGAGGAGGAACGAGTAGTTACAACGACGCGAGCTTACTCGCGGTTCTTCCGGAGAAAGGCCTAGGCGCACGCTCAGCAAAAGACAACGCTCAGACAGCGGGGCTGTACCCAGCGGGGCTCCACCGCTGCGACCACAAACCCGAGTCAGCTGCCCCTCCAACGCCCCACCCCATTCGCAACCCAACGATCCGCAGGGGAATTCAGGGGAAACAAAAAGGAGGCTACTTGTGTTTAGGAGTGGAAATGCCGGCACAAATCCCTGCTGCAAATCGGTTCAGGTCAGGGATTCACTCGTTTTGTAAAGATAGGGCTAAGGATGGAATCTTAAGCCAGCACCGAAGCAAGATGAGGGGAAGCAGGATTTCTAAACCAACAGGCTAATTCTCTCTTAAAAATCAGCATGGGCATGATGACACCGGCCATCGACGAGGACGGCAACACGGCTGAGCCTCCCGCCTTGCGCCAGGAAGGGGGCTGTGGGTACAAGGAGACCCAGAGGTGCTGTGTTTACTGCTCAGGCCTTGTCCTTGCCAGACGCCTCCTTGGTGTCCGTACGGAGAGACCTCAACGGAGTCTCAGATTTGCCAAAAGCCGTCTGAAGACAGACTCGTGCCGGCACGCTGGGGCCACAGTTATAATCTGCCGACAGCAGGAACCACTTGGTCTCCGAAGCTGAACGCGGCACCGTGACTGCCCCGTGCACCTGGGACTGCCTGCCAAAGCCCCCCATCCCCACATTTCCCAGCTCAGGCTGATTTCTGTGCATGGGTGTTCGACAAAGAAGCGCCGTGAGAACATAAAAAGAGCACTAAAATCAGCAGCGTGCCACAGTAGCTTCAGGCCTCTCAAAAACCTTCGCAATAAATAATCCAGGGCAGCAGGAAAGCAGTATCCTTCGGCCACGACGGAGCACAAGACAATAGCTGTACGCAACTCCTGCGATTCAGTCGGGGCAAATGGGCACCGTTAAGGTCAACAATTTATGGAGCTTTGTTTCTGCTGGTTTCTTATGTGCACAATAAACTAATCTGTCTGCATTAAGCAGCAGGACAGTGGACAGCTGTCATTTTCTGATCTCTGTATCCTAATGGGTTACCTTAGTAACAGCCTTAAGCTGTCTGTTGCCATGGTGAACGAGGTCCATAATTGCTGCAACAGCCCTGGAGGTGTCAAAGTCATCTGCAAACGCAGCCTTCACGGTTACTTTTGTGTTGGCCAGCCTTCAAGGAGAAAAGGTAACTTTTAAGATAAGACAAACAAGATGCCAGCAGTACGCTGAATTCATCAGCTATTCAGCTAGAGGGAGTCATCGAAAGGACACCGGCAGTCCCTTCCTAGCTGTCCTGTGACGGGCAAGGCTACGCTGATCCCGGAGGACACATTTTTTGGCAGCAAAGGGAAAAACTTGACACGCGTCAAGATCCGAAGCACAGCATCCGTTCAGTAAATACACAGTTAATCACAGGAACCAACAAAAGCAGAGCAAGGCTTGCCTTAATAATTTAAAAACAGATGGAAAACAAGGCTGATATTAAGCACATTGATGATTTTGATAAGTTTGAGGTTTTGTTTGGTTTTGGGTTTTTTTCCCAGCAGCCCATTTTTCCTGCTAACCGCCCGTTTCTCTTCCAAAACCACATCACACGCATCACTCCAGTGCCCAGCAAGAGCACCGACACGGGGGCGGCCAGCAGTCCTATTGACAGGATCCAGCTTGGGCGCAGGCACTGCTTCCTCATTTCCCAAGCCATCCCAATCCCAACCCTGGGACTCCACTCGGCCCAGACAGAAAGGTCTGGTGGGACTACTGGTGTAACAGCACCAAAAGCCATTGGGCAACCAGCACTCATAGCCACAGAGCCAGCCGCTGCCGCCGCTACGAGCAAGAAGATGGGGACAGCGTGGGGAATACCTGGTGAGCTGCAGACAGCTGCTGGCAGCCCACCCTTGTAGGTGGCCAGGCAAAGGGAGCCTCCGTAGTGCTGACCCAAGGATGCCATTTCTCGATAAAGCTCCAGGAACAGGGTTACCCAGGGAACCCGAAGCTATGCGAGTGCCTCTGGGGCTCTCCTTAACCCCGTGGGTGCCTGTTTCTGAGTGTCTTTGCCCGCCTCTCCTCAGATACTGGATGATTGCTGCCCAAACCCATTCCTCCCAACACTCTTCCCTGCAAGCTTCCCCTTCTTCACTGAAGATCCACCACTTTCCCAATTAAGAATTCCGTTTCATCCCGGTTGTTTTACACCGAGTCATCCACAAGTCTCGCCCTCTCACACATCCCCACTGACAACCCATTTCAGCTTCCCCATGTGCCTTGCACCTCCCAGCCTCATTTCTCACCAACAGGTCTCCGTTGGCCTCCTGCTGAAATACCACAACTAGTTAATCCAACTGCCCTTCCCTGTAACAGTGCCCCTTGCAAGACTCGGTGCAGCTGCAGGGACAGTGAAGTGCCCGCACAAGGAAGTCACCTCTCGCTTCCACACCATGGGATGTTCCTCTTCTGATCCTATGTCCCAGAGCTGCCTGCGTGTACATGGTTTCAGGGCACTCCATGCCCCTCCGGCCCCAGCTCCAGAGCCCCGCACTAATCCTCTCAGCCTAGCACCTAACACATGGCACATCTCTCTCTCCTGGATGATCCGGTTTTCCTAAGGGACTCCAAAGAAGATTCTCCTCATTGTTGTCAGGGTCGCAGCAAGCATCATTTCTTATTTCCCTGTGACATCTGTGTCCTGGCCAATTTTTAGTAACCCCTTGTCTCCCCTGCTGCACGCCACAGCACCAGTCAGCTTGGTTACAAGCTCACACACCCAAGGCATATGACCTTCCAGCCCTCCTCCTCCTCCTGCAGTTGCTGATGCACAGTTCTACTGATGAACCGTGTAGCCTCGCAATTCCAGTCACAGCTTTGCCTTCTACACCACTCAAGAGGGGCAAAGATGCAAGCGTTGACAGAGGCACAATCGAGAAATAACATGGATTTTAGAAATCTGGTGAACTAAGGGTAGCAGAGTATGAGGAAGAGCAGCTGGCTAGACAAAGAAGAAAAACAACCTGCCCTTGGAGAGGGCTGGCAGGGAAAAGTGCTTCTCAGTCCCTCTTCTTGTCCTGCTGCTTAAAGAGAACTCAGCACACTACAGTGGTCAGCAAATTATTGCTCACATAATCACAGTCTTTCAGGTACAGGAGATGCCCTTACCTTTCCCACAGTATGTCTTCTCTAACAGGGTCACATACCAGCTGTCCTTTTATATAAGCATTTGCATCTCTGCTAAATGAGGAGATTGCCCCAAGAAGGTGCTTTGCATCATCCATGCTCTCATCACTGAATTCTACTGCTGAGAAAGCAAAAAAAAAAAAAAAAAAATCATTCTGGCATTACGATAGGAGGGATGTCATCTGTCACACACCGGAACAGTGTTCTGAGACAAAGTCATTCCAGGAAAAGTCTGTCATTATTTGTCACAGGAAACTGAAGCAATAGCTGCTTGACTGTAAATGTTTTTGTTTCATTATCGAATCTCTCTGTGAAGTTACTACTCCAAGGCATTTGAATTGGATATATTTCTAAGCATCCACCCAGATTGAAGTCGGCAAGACATACCTTTGATCTCACCCCTAATTTGGTTCCTATTCTAAATTTAGGTAGGAATGATTTGGAGATCTCCAAAGAGACCTAACCCTCACCACCGACTCTGTGAGGAACAGAGGCACTTACAGTTCAAGGGCTGCTCCACCAGCATCTAAAATCTAGATAAGCCTAAAATTTTGCAGTCTAGATTCTGCACTAGGCATACAATTCCCTCACAATGTCAAAGCTAAACTGGCCATATCAATTTTTGAAGGCAAATTTTAGAGAAAATACAATTTGTTTAAACTCACAGGAGCATGTTTGGGATGGGGCTTATTGTACCCAACTTACACACATTTAAGCCTCTTTACAAAGAAAGATAAAGCCTTAAGATAAACGATTTGTCGCATCCTAAGCGGAGCTCTGCTCTATGAGGAGCTCTGCTACACCCTAACCCTACAGTGCTTCTCTCCCACCAACTGGAAAGATGACATTAGTCATGTCATGTACCCCCCAACACAGCACCCCTGCACACGGACACCCTCACTGCATTCAAGGGGACTTGATCTTTAGCAGGCAGCTGCTCTCTGGGAACTGCCAGCGCCCACGCCTGCTGGCTTAGGGTTAAGCAGGCTCCTCTCGCCTTGCCTGCACCCTCAGAAGCGCAGGTGCTGGACTGGCCCCCTGGCACTTTTACCGCGAGCTGCCATCAGCAAGAGGCAAATTTTTGTTTGTACAGTAACATGCAAAACTTATTCAGGGAGAGGGTGGTGAGGCACAGGAACAGGTTGCCCAGAGAAGCTGTGGATGCCCCATCCCTGGAAGTGTTCAAGGCCAGGCTGCATGAGGCTTTGAGCAACCTGGTCTAGTGGAAGGTGTCCCTGCCCATGGCAGGGGGGTTGGAACTGGATGGTCTTTAAGGTCCCTTCCAACCCAAACCATCCTGCAATCTTACAATTCCATGAATGTTCTGTAGAAGGGCACTTGGACCCCACACAAGGCAGCTCACCCAACTTTGGGGAAGTTGTGCCCACCAAGGACAGGACTAAGTTTAAATGCCGCAATATCATACCAGAGCTGATTGCTTGTATCAAAGAGCCACACGTAGCCAGAGCAATATTGCATCACCGTTTTATGCCTGACTTCTGCACTAAGGTACCTCCAAACTACATCTTGCAGCATATTCCTGACCTCACCAGCACTGAGCATCACCTGTAGTTTCTACCACAATCCCATCTCTGCACTGCAGGTGGGGTCTTAAGAGCAGAGTAGAGGGGGAGAATCTCCTCCCTCGACCTGCTGGCCACACTTCTCTGGATAGAGTCCGGGATAAGGTTGGCTTTCTGGGCTGCCAGCGCACTGCAGAATTTACACAATTTCCTGCAGGACGAGCCCCCGTTTGGAGCAGGAGAGGGGGCAAGCAGCAGGGAGCACTGCCGCTGTGGGGTGAGGTGGTGGGATGGTGGCATGCCTGGCTCTTTGCTCTGAGTGAGGAGACGAAATACAGAATATTTTTTGCACGCACAAACGGCTCCCTGGCTGCAGCTGGGGACACGTGTATTTAAAACAAAGGAAGAAGAAAAAAGGCTGACATCTACACCACTTTCATAGATATGTTTTTCCTGTAAACAAAAGCTGAATGGATGGCAATTTTTAAGCTTGCCTCAAGGCAAGGAATGGCACTGGAGTCATGCAGCCAGCTGCCCACACACGTTCGCTGCACGTCAGCTGCCTGCATTTGAACCTCTTTGAGAAGGATGTGACCTTTTTTTACCTTATTTCTAGTTTAAATACCTTCCTCTGATAAAAACGGAGGGCGACCTGTGCAAATGCAGGTGACTGATGAAAGGACGCGCTGGTGTTACGTCAGAGCATAGTGCAAGCAGGCCACTCGAAGGCCTGCTGCGCTCGCCACCTCCACCGCGCCAGGTAGGGTGCGGTTATTCCCTGGCAGATAAAAAGCCAGAGTCAAGCCCTTGCTGAGACAGGTATTTACTGTACAGCCTGCTGGCTCGTGTCCCTGCTGTCAATTCACTTTGGTCTAAAGTTACATTTACTGTGCTTCTCATCTTGCTGTCTGCTTCCCAAGTGTTTTTTATTAGATGTGAGAGCCCAAGCACCTTCTGTTTGTTCCTAAAAAGGGGTTTTGTAGCCTAAACCTGTTGGCCGTGATTCCTGCCATCCCAGCCTGTGGAGGAGAGCCTTTTGTACTTACTAAAATCCAGGTTTGGGAGGGCTGGGTGATGTTACTGTGCTCCTTGGATAGATCTTTGTTGGCATGTGGATGAGGGCAGAGCCTGACAGTTGGGAAACACTCGTGCTTGATGACGTGGTTTACATGGATCTTAGGCTTGGAATGGGCCAGTTTTGTGGTTTGGGCTAGACCCTGCCTGTGTGTGCTACGGGCATCTGGGGACAAACACAACTCCAAACTGTCCCAGCCACAGAGGGGAAGGGCCAGCAGGTCGAGGGAAGGGATTCTCCCTCTCTACTCTGCTCTTGTGAGACCTCATCTGGAGTGCTGCATCCAGCTCTGGGGCCACCAACACTAGAAGGGTATTGACCGGTTGGAGTGAGTCCACAGGAGGCCAAGAAGATGCTCAGAGGGCTGGAGCACCTCTGCTATGGGGACAGGCTGAGAGAGTTGGGCTTGTTCAGCCTGGAGAAGAGAAGGCTCCGGGGAGACCTTATAGCACCTTCCAGTACCTGAAGGGGCTACAAGGAAGCTGGGGGGG